TCAGTACGCGGTGTGCGAAGAAGCTGAAGAGGAAGCACTCAGGTGACATTGCTCCCTCGCGTGCACGCCAGCCTGCCAGCCAGCCCGCCTGCAGGACCGGCCCCGTGAAGCCCCAATGGACCCCAGGGAATCCCCTCAGCACTCCCTAAGGTATTGAGGCTGGGGGATGAATTTGTTTTTTTAAACGTGTGTGTTAGAGTGTGTGTTAGTGTGTGTGTTAGTGTTAGTGTGTGTGTGTGTTAGTGTTAGAGTGTGTGTGTTAGAGTGTGTGTGTTAGTGTTAGAGTGTGTGTGTGTTAGAGTGTGTGTGTTAGTGTTAGAGTGTGTGTGTGTTAGAGTATGTGTGTTAGTGTTAGAGTGTGTGTGTGTTAGTGTTAGAGTGTGTCAGTAAGTGTGTTACTGTGTGTGTCTGTTACTGAGTGTGTTAGTTTGTGTGTGTCTGTTAGTGAGTGTGTGTTTTGTAAGTGAGTGTGTCTGTCAGTGAGTATGTATGTATGTCTGTCACTGAGTGTGTGCCTGTCAGTAAATGTGTGTCTGTTAGCTAGTTTGTATGCGCCTGTTCGTGAGAGTGTGTGTGTGTCTTAAGCACTTCCCTTTCTCCAGCGACGGATTCCCTTGGCGCTGGGGATCTCTCCGCCCCTATCCGCTTCTCAGCTCCGAATGCGCATGCGTGGCAAGAGCCGTGCGCGCATTCAAACTGCCCATAGGAAAGCATTACGCAGTACTTTCCTATGGACATTCAGCGTCTTCTCACTGTGATTTTCACAGAAGCTCCTCTAGCGGCTGTCAATGAGTCAGCCACGAGATGCTGGATTAACCCTCAGTGAAACTGCTATGTTTTCAGCTACAGGGTAAAAACTAGAGGGACCTGGCACCCAGACCACTTCATTGAGCTGATGTGATCTGGGTGTCTGTAGTGGTCCTTTAAGTGTATGTGTAGCTGCATGCACTGGCGAACAGACCGCGGTCGCAGGGGTCGCAGCCCTGCAACCCCTGCGACCAGGTGCCCGCCACCACGTGTTGCGGCCCCAGCTTGCGAAGAGTAAGCACGTGGGGGTGGGGGGGTGGCAAGGATCAGTTTTCGCACCGGGGCCCCATGGGTTGTGTGTACGCCACTGACTACAGTGCTGGCCCTGTACATAATCCATTGCAGGCATTGCACCCCCTGCAGACAGCATAGCCCCAATCCCGCCTTGTAAGTTTAAGTTAAAGATGTCCAAACCTATTAAACCAATTAAACTAAAATGTATCCTGTCAACACACATAAGATTAACATTGTCACCATCCAATTCTACGCGTATCCCACAAATCTGGCGATCGTCATGCTTAACTTCTATCTGCTTCTTCTTTTAAGACCCCGAGTATAAGGAACCATACAAGGCAAAGGAATTAACTTGGACCAAACTAACGTAAGATCCTTGAATAATGCATGGCAACTTGCCAAACTCATGTTTTATTCCTTGTATAAGATCAATTGTTCTAACTGACCTCAAGTATTTTCCTCCTGCATGAAGCATTAACATAACTGCACCCAAAACATGTCTGTTAATAGAAACACACTCTGGGTAAACAAGAAAGACCCCTAATATGCCTCCAACGCACCCAAGTTCTGTTCAAAATTGCGTTCCTCAGCCCATCGCCCTGCCCAGTATATGTACAAGTGACCTAATATCCAAACATAGCATGAAGCAGGATCTATGAGAAAAAAAAAAGGATTATAACAGATGTGGGTGAACAAATAATTGAAAATGCCTCGACTTCCACCTACACACCGGAATAGAAAGATAACACAGAATACTGACCTGAGTAGCAGCTCTGATACCAAATGAAATACCACTTCTAGGGTTACCCTAGTTGGAGATATGTCCCCAAGCAGAGTAAATGAAAGAAGATCGCTGGTGGAGGGTGGGTGTTGTTCTGGTCTTTTCGCACTTCACCCAAAGCTGAGGACATGGCGACATTGGACTGGAGGTGAGGTTATATCTAAATGTTTTACATTTAATACATCAGTTATCTAAAAATGTATTCAATAATTTGGGGTGGTGGGGGTGATTTGTGTTAAAGTGGAACCTATCATGCCAGGTTGACATTAAGCTGTTTTTTCCCCATTTATAGTATCGTCTGCAAAGCACTCAAGTAACATGTCTTCACTTTTACCATTCTCTCCTTCCATTAAGCTTTCATTCTTCTCAACAGTAGGAGGTATTAAACGTGGATATTATAACTCTTGCTTTGACTGATCTCCTCATACATTTGTTCAGATTTAAAATAACGGGATAACTATGGTTTGCTAATGAGGAATATTTTGTTGTACTGGTTTAATAATACACTTATCTTTCTTTGTACTGATGTGTTGTTTTTACTTAGCCACCTATATCCTTCTTTCTCCAAAGAGTCTTTGGAACCCCCCCCCACCCCACCTGCCCATCAATTTCTTATGTTCTGAAATCAATGTGTCAATCAAAATTATTTTCTTTTGTTAACCCATTTCACTACAGAATTCTTTGAAAACATATAAAAGATAAATACTATTTAAAGATTACTGTTGAGAGATGTTTATAAAATCAAAACCATAAACATTTACAGAATGCATTTATTTATTTGTTCATCCTTTGAAGACATATTTGGAGCATATGTATTAGAGATTAAATGGTACCTTTAGTTTTCTAATGATTCATAGAAAATAAATATAGTCTAGAAGGGATAAATGTTTTAGATTTTGCAGTACACAGTAGGCAGGATATTGAAATACATACCAACATAGTCAGATATATTGTTTATGCATATTTAGAATTTCTGTGCTGGTATTTTTGGGAATGTATTTTTGGCTTAACACAATATGGCCATATTAATTTTCTTGCGTATATAGGCGATTTTAAGTAGCCTTGTAAAAAAATTAAAACTGTTTTTTTTCTGAGCTCTGTTCCTTAATCTGAATTTTGCATTTCATTGTAAGTCTGATAAAACAGTAACAGCTTAATAAACAGTTAAACTGAATCTAAAGAACATAGCCATGAATTATACTATTCAAGTTTAATATCTGTTTTAAACAGGTTCCCAGCCCCAGCTGGTGGCTTTCTCTTTATCCATTCCAAAAAGACATCTATCTAGTTGGCAGATAAACCACCGGGAAGGGGCAGAACCCAGACCATCCAATTTGTTCTACAAGTCAATGAATTGACTACAATAAAAAGGACACATGGTCGGAGACGTTATTACTCATCGGTATATGTCACCCATACAGAAGATTGGTTTATCCTGCGCTGAGACAATATAAATTCTCCTTGCAATATTCTGTCTGACAAGAATTTGTTTATGAGCTGCAAAGACCAATGTTTACACACGTATTCTGGAAGAAGTTTGGTTCCAAATGCTGCTGTTGTGGAATCTGACCTTGAAACGAAGATTCTTTCAGTAAAGAAGACCATGCTAGGGGCCAGACAACATCTGATAGATTAAGTCTGAAATGGCTTCCAAGATGCCAAGGGCCATGGGGATATTGTGTGCCAAAGTACTAAAACTGGAGCAAACAACAGGAATATTCAATTGGTTTCCATAGTAATAACTCCACAATTAGAATTTGGATTGCTCTTTATAATTGCCCAACTACAGTATGAGATTGTTTAGTTTTTTTATGTGATGAGTTTACATCAAGCATCATTTCAAAGGCTTAGCCATTTACAGACACTATAAAATTTATTTAGACGTGATTTATTTTTCAAGAGTTATTATGTTAAATAGTTATTTCAGGCACCATAACCAATTTAGTGATTTGAACATTCTTAGCTTAACCCCTTTGCTTTCAAAAGTATAATTCCACCTCCGGTGGTGTCACTGGAGCATCGTCAGTCAGCCCAGAACAAGAGTTCCAAGCTGACTAATGTCAGTATTGTGAATATTTACATGCACAGAATTGGCTGAGGGCATTCAGTTGATGGTTCTAGCCAATAAATGGCCGACAGGATCTGCAGAAGTCAAATGCACAGCTCCAAACTGAATGGAACCGAGGCACCTGGCTAAGACTGAAGGAAGAGGACAAACCATTGCAACACAGTTTTTCCCGTTCCTGGGGAATGGGACCAAGGCGCTATTGACATCACAACCCTTACAGCAGTCTTTGATACTTATGATGTTTGGACTAACCATTTAAAGTGCACTTGCCAACTTTTTCAGAAATGGCAAGTCAGTACTATTCTAGTATGGGGCAAAAATTCTCAATACCTTATTCTAGTATCTTGCTTCTTTAAGACACCGAGGTAAATTATTAAAATGGACAATGTCTCTGTATTCAAGGTTCAAGAGCACTTTCTTCATTTTCTGGGCTAGCTATCTATAGACATATGCATGTGCACAGGATTAACAAGCCATTTTTCAGATCCACACTTCTTTAATTTTTTTTATAATTCTTTATTTTTGCAGTGCAGGTAGTTAGAGACAAGCTTTTAATGCCACGACAGCATCGACAGTCGTTCATTATCATACATGGTGGTACATAGGCCTGGCACGTAAATACATTGCACTCTTTTAAAGCAGAATAACATTAAACAAGATAAAGCAGATTAGGTATCAGCTTATACTGAGCTATTAAAACTTATTATGTAGACAGTTTTCCTGACATAGTTATATAACACTAAATAATGTTTGATCAAAGTATAGGTAAATATGTCAGCTGAGAGTGTAGGAGTATAAGTGATCAGTGACTTAGAGGAACTGATATTAAGCGTAACTAATAAGCCATTGGGTATGTAGCTTGCTTAGAGTTGAGAGATCTTCGGACTTGAACTAATAGCATGAAAACTAGTGAACTCAAGGCCCAAGTGACTAGCAGTACTAGGAGTCGTAGTTTATAAAGCAATGCAACAGAAATTAAAAAACAAGACATAATAACGTCAAACACCTGCCCGGTATATATCTATAGGCTAATGGTAAAGAGACAGGTAGGCACTACGGTGCAGGAGCATTAGCGATTCAGCCTATGCCCATCATATTGTGTGTTCTGACCTGATATTGTGTGTAGCATATATCACTGAAATCAGCTCCCCACCAGCCCCAGACTCTTGCACAGTCCTGCACATCAATCTCACATATCCTGTCATCTGAAGAGACCAGGACATGGGCTCGGGATTCTCTGCCAAGCTGCTGTGTATCCTGTTGAATGCCGGCCATCCAAGCTTGTGAGCCGTGCTTAGGGGTAAGACCCTGTTTGGATCGAGGTCTGGGAGGGTAGTAAACGGCCGCAGGACCTGGTTTTCGGTAGGTATATGCCCATCCAAGCACCTTCCTCGTTTTCCGTATTTTTGGCACGGTGTCCGGCTCTCTCGATACAGGGTGTGGGTTATCATGGTGTCTTAAAGGGGCAGGCCGGGCTTCATGCTTCACTGCTGGCCTTTCTGCCTGTCGGCAAATTATATTCAAGAGGTGCGCCCATAGTTGGTCAAAAGTTTGTGTTATATGTTCTTCGCTCAAGTCCCCTGTTGTAGGGGACCGCTGGGCTGCATGCCTCCCTTCGATAGCTATCTTAGGTCACTCGTATCTGGGAGTTAGCCTCGAGGATTCAGCCGGATCTACTGGCTATTGTCAGGTCACTGCTTAAGTGGGGACCGGGATATCGGGGTGGTAAACGGGACTGTGTGAAAGCTTTAGTGGGGTGCACTCATTGGGCTGGGAGCCGCAAAGCCAAAACAAGGTGAGAGCGAGTCTAATAGAGCCAGCTTGGGCAATTAACAGTGCAGGCAGGGTTAGTGTTGATCTGGAGCTTGCACCAGACAATTTTCTGCTTCGATTTTAGGTGATTTCACCACAAAATGAGGTCTGGAAAGCAGGAGCTATGAGATAACATGTCCATCTTGAGTGTCAGGCCCCGCCCTCCCTGTGGGTACTCCTATTCACAAACAGGAACCGGGATCCAGATAGGTTGGAAACGTTGGTTTATTACAACATATTAAATAACAAAATAAATAATAAACAAAAAGGTTCCTCTAAGGCATAGATGTCAAACTTGCGGCCCACAACTAATGTGTTTGCGGGCTGCGGGCCACGAGGGAGTGCTGAGTGTAAGCTCTCCCTGCACAGTGCCCACAGAGATGTCGGGAACCGTATTGTGACGCCACTCTGGCTCCTGGCATCACTCTGCGGCGTGCGAGGGAGCTGAGCAGGGAGAGCTCACAATCAATGCTCTCTTGCTGTCTGTCCGCCCCTCTGCCTGCCTGAATGTACACCTGCCCAGCAGCCCCACTAGACACCAGGTAAGAAATCCACCCAGCTCTCCCAAAGGTTGGGAGGCTGGGTGGATTTAAATTAAAATAATAATAATTAAAAAAAAGTGTTGGGGGGAAATATGTGTTTGTGTGTATAGGTGTATAGCTGCCTGTGGGTGTGGATGGCTGTCTGTGTATGTGTATTGCTGTCTCTGTGTGTATATTGCTGTCTAAGTGTGTGCATGGCTGTCTGTGTGTGTGTGTGTGTGTGTGTATGGCTATCTGTGTGTGTGTATATGGCTGTCTTTGCGCATGGCTGTCTGTGTTTGTATATTGTTATTATTATTATTATGATATTTATATAGCGCCATCAAATTCCACAGTGCTTTACAATGGGTGGACGAACAGACATGTAGTTGTAACCAGACAAGTTGGACACAGAGGAACAGAGGGGTTGAGGGCCCTGCTCAATGAGCTTACATGCTAGAGGGAGTGGCGTAAGATTACACAAAAAGGTAAGGATAGTATTAGACTAGTGACAGTTGCAGAAGAGGAATCAGTCAGGAGCTATTAACAGTTTAATTGATGTGCTTCTTAATTGCTGTCTGTGTGTTTGTATTGCTGTCTGTGTATGTGCGCATGGCTGTCTGTGTGTGTGTATTGCTGTATGTGTGTGAGCATGGATGTCTGTGTGTGTATGGCTGTCTGTGTGTCTGTGTGTATAGCTGTCTCTGTGTGTGTGAATTGTTGTCTGTGTGTATGGCTGTCTGTGTCTGTGTGTGTGTGTGTGTGGCTGTCTGGGTGTATGGCTGTCTGCGTGTGTGTGTATATATGGCTATTTGTGTGTGTGTGTGTGGCTGTCTGTGTGTGTGTCTTCCAGTGTTTGTGTGTGTGTGTGTGTCATTGTTTGTCTGTGAGGAAGCCTGTGTGTCTGAATGATTGTGTGTCTGTGAGTGAGTGTGTGTGTCTGTGAGGGAGCCTGTTTGTCAGTTATTGTGTGTCTGTCAGTGAATGTGTGTGTGTGTGAGTGCATGCGTGTGTTGGAGTGATTTTATGTGTATGTCAGTGTTTGTGTATGTCTGTCAGTGATTGTGTCTCAGTGAGTGTGAGTGAGAACAGAGGCAGGGGTTTAGTAGACGAAGGGGGGACTGGGATTTAGTAGACGAGGGGGGGACTGGGGTTTAGTAGAGGGGGTTGCTGTTTTTTAAAAATACTGTACTTTTCAAAATAAACCTACGTTTCTTTGAAACTTTACATTTTTGTTTTTTTGCGGCCCACATAAACTTAAACCTTGTTTATTTGGCCCTTGCTAGCCTTTGACTTTGACATGCTTGCTCTAAGGGAACTTCCACAAGGACCATGCAATTAAAACACAGTTAAAAGGATCAAAAAATTCAAACAGAAAAGATATCAGCCTGATACATTTTCTGTTGCCATTTTTTATTATTTTAACTGTGTTTTAATGATTAGCGAAGTTTAAAATTAATTGAAGTAGGTGAGTGCAAGCTAAACAGTTACCAGCTTGCACATCAGTATACAGTATTACACTATATTTGTCTTACTTTTGGTAATCTCGGCTAAGGTGATACAATATTCTCTGAAACGCTACATGTAGAAATGAAGTGCCATAAAGTGTGCGATAAAATGCCCTCACTCTAAAATGGCACTGACAGTCACACATCAGAATAATTAAATATGCAAAGCAGGTCTCTTTTAATCTAAGAAGCAGATGCTGGCAGCTGAATTGATGAAAGATACTTAAAGTGATGAGCTGACAGAGGGAGTGATGACAGGTACTGATTAACTGGAATGATGTAGAGTGTGTATATCTAGATACTCAGCAAACAGAAAGAGGACAATAGGCGCCAAATATAATTTGGCTGACAGTAGGGCTGTTCAAGTTTTATGTATTTTTAAGTAACAAAAATGCAAAGTAGGACTTTTCCAATATTGTGTGAGTATCCCACTGTAAATAATGTGGCAGTATTGGTTATGGCCCTGTGTGGCTCCAAGTTTAGATGCTAATTAATAGATTGCCACCCATAAAAATAACAAAGCCTAGGTCTATCTTATTAAAAGGGCTGCAAGACATTTTTTCATACATAATTAGCTGCACATTTTGCATTGATCCTTGATTTTCTATACATTTAAAAAAATAAAAATAAAGTATTTTGCATCTTAACCCTGCATCCTGCAATCTTCTCCTGCCTCCTGCGATCTTCTCCTGCCTCCTGCGATCTTCTCCTGCCTCCTGTGATCTTCTCCTGCATTCTGGGATTTCCCGTACCTGCATACAGCAATTATATTGTTGTACATGTCATCAGGAAGCTTCATGGGATTACAGCTTTCATGAGTAGAGAGCTGATAAATGAACTGCAAGCCTAGAAACCTGAGCAAAACTGAGGCTGTGAGATCCTTGAAATCTGCTAATCGCACGGTCCCCCTACACCAGCTGTGCCAATATGGTAGCTCCCCAGATGTTTTAAAACTACAACTTCCATGATGTGTTGCCATTCTGAATACATTCTAAAGGCGTTCAAAGCATTATGGGAGTTGTAGTTCTACAACATCTGGGGATCTACCTTTTGGGCACCCCTGCCCTACACTTTCACCTTTGCAATTCTGTGTTAAACATTTCTACTAGTTCAGTCCCAGACCAAATTTAGAGGCTATTGATTGGTTCAAAGTAGATGATGTAGTGTTTTGGCATGTGGCGAAAAATAAGGAACTTTGAGTATCTTTTTAATCTTTTATTATTTTGGACTGATTGTCTCTATATTTTTAATGCATTACCTTTACATCACTCCCATTTTTAACACCCCAAACCCGGCTTTTTTCCCACTTCTAACTGAGCCTTTTGAGTTATCGATCCCACATTCAACCATTGCTATATACTTTCCTGAAATAATGAGTGGATTTGTAGTGCAATCCTATTCTTCAGTTCTACATTTTTATTATTTAGTATTAGGGAATTCAAATGATACATCTAACTATATGTTATTGAAGATCTGGATTTTGTATTGCTTACCCTGCTGCGTGACGTTTGTATAGATAAGCATATTGGTACCTCTGAGAATTTTCTTTTTATAACAAGATGCTTCATTATGTGAAGAAAACTTGCCTGGACACGTTGCAATGATTATACCTGAAACTAACATGTGCCTGGCTCTCCCTGAACTATGATTACCTGTGACGTGGGTTACTGGCAGACTCTGTGAAATCCTTAACAGCATATCAGTTACTTGTACAATCTTATACATTGCATTCCAGAATGGTGTTACTTTTGCTGAATGCATTGATTTGGCTTTACTTACAACTTAAATTTAAGACATTACTAATATAATTTGCAGAGAAAAAAACGGCAGAAAATAACTATTTAAAAAACAAACAAAAACGTTTTTGAGGATTCTTGTTCACGCTATACTATTGCAGCAATTGAACGCTACAGAGACTGGCCACCTCAATGAATGACCACCAGAGAGAGTGAATGTCTCAATGATTGATGACATCAGTGACTGACCACCGCAAGAACTGACCACCTAAGTTACTGTTGTTCATAGCGACAAAGCTCTATAGTGTACGACTACCTTTGGGACTAGACTTGTGCACTGTGGTAAAAATTTCTTCAGTCTAACTATTTTTTTCAGAAAACAGAAAATTTCAGCCATATGTTAGTTCGACTGACCAGAAACTGACCACCTGGGACACTGGTACTTCAAAGACTGACCACCGCAGAAACTGACCACCTTGGGCACTGGTACTTTGATGACTGACCACCGCCGAAACTGACCACTATGGACACTGGCACTTCAATGACTGACCACCACAGAAACTGACCACCTTGGACACTGGCACTTCAATGACTGACTGTTACAAAACTGACTGCAGAAACTGACTGTTACAAAAGACTATTGTTACAAAAGACTGGAAATCACTATGTTGCTGTTTTTACTCACTGATTGATACTGTTTGCCACTGCATAAGTTAAACAGAAAACCACACGAATGGATTACACGAACCCTTAGGGAGGCTCCATTCGTGGTACGAACGGGGGACCCCCCAGAAACTGGCGTGTGCCGCCACTTAACCCCGTCACCCCGCAAACTACCGAACGGGCGACCCCCCCGGCTCGCGGAGTGTGGTAGCCATTAACCACCCAGATGGCTGCGGTTTGCGGTTAACCACAATGTAATCGTT